GAGGGAGCTGACCCTGCAGCCATGGTGTGGGTGAGGATGTGCCCCTGCTCTGCCGGGCACAGCTCCTGGTCAGGAAAGTCTTTCCCACTGGGATCTCTCTTGGTTGGTGACGTCTTCCCATTGGGACAGAGTTCTGTGTCCCCTGCCATTGCCGTGACACTGCTCTGGGCGTGTCTCGGTGTCCCCTCGGCACGGCTCCTGGTCAGCGAGTTCTTCCATCTGGCACATCTCGTGGTTGATGAATTCTTCCATCTGGCACATCTCCTGGTGGATTAAGGCTTCCCATTGGGACAGAGTTTTGTATCCATTGATTTTCCCTTGGTGCTGTTCTTGGTGTCTCTTGGCTTGTCCTTGCCACGGTTCTTGGTTGATGGATTCTTCCATGTGGGACATCTCCTGGTTGATGGATCCTTCCTTTTGGGAGATCTTTTGGTTGGTGAAGTCTTCTCTTTGGAACATCTCCTGGTTGATAGATTCTTCCATGTGGGACATCTCCTGGTTGATGGATCCTTCCTTTTGGGACATCTCCTGGTTGATGGATCCTTCCTTTTGGGACATCTTGTGGTTGATGGATCCTTCTGTTTGGGACATCTCCTGGATGGTGAAGTCTTCCATGTGGGACGTCTCATGGTTGATGGATCCTCCCAATTGGGACATCTCCTGGTTGACGGATTCTTTCATCTGGGACATCTCCTGGTTGGTGAATTCTTCCATGTGGGGCATCTTGTGGTTAATGAATCCTTCCATTTGGGACATCTCCTGGATGGTGAATTCTTCCATGTGGGACGTCTCATGGTTGATGGATAATTTCATCTGGAACATCTCCTGGCGGATTAAGTCTTCCCATTGGGACACAGTTTTGTATCCCTTGGCGTTCCCTTGGCACCGTTCCTGGTATCTTTTGGCGTTCCCTTGGCACAGTTCTTGGTCAATGAAGTTTTCCCCGTGAGACGTCTCTTGGTCAAAGAGTTCTTCCATCTGGAACATCTCCTGGTTGAAGAGTTCTTCCATCTGGAACATCTCCTGGTTGATCAGATCTTCCCATTGGGACGCACTTTTGTATCTGTTGGCCTCCCCTTGGTGCCACTCTTGGGATCCATTGGATTCCCCTTGGCGCCACTCTTGGGATCCATTGGATTCCCCTTGGCACAGCTCTTGCGATCCATTGGATTCCCCTTGGCACCACTCTTGGGATCCTTTGGATTCCCCTTGGCACCACCCTTGGGATCCATTGGATTCCCCTTGGCGCCGCTCTTGGTTGGTGAATTCCCGCCATTGGGACAGATCCTGGCACCCGTTGCCGTGCCCCTGGCACAGTTCCCGGTCTCCCCAGGCTTTCTTCTGGCGCAGCTCCTGGTCAATGAATTCCTCCATGTGGGACATCTCCTGGGTGATGACGTCCAGCCACCAGGCCAGATCTCTGTGCCCGTGGGCTGTGCCCTGGCTCATCCCTTGGGGACACCCTCGGGATCCCTGTGGATCTGTGCCGTGTCCCCGCTGGCACAGCTCNATTGGAAATGGAGATGACCTGGGGATTGAAACGGGTCAGGGACCAGCTTGGGTGAAAAACCTGATTTTTTTTGGAATGTTTAAGAAGTGTAATTTCCCCAGATGTGGCTAGAGGAAGGTGAGGCTGGAATGTTTGTGGGAGCTGTGTGTGGTGACTGTGGTGTGTCCTCAGCTCTGGACATCCTGGTGCCCAAGGCCGGATTCTTCTGCCAGATCTGCTCCCTCTTCTACGCCGACGAGCCCTCCATGATCAACCACTGCAGGACCCCCCTGCACCGGCAGAACATGGAGGTACCACCAGAAAGAACGGGAATATCCCCCCAAATCCTTGGATTCAGGAGTTCACGTGTGACGGGGTTTGGGAATACAGTGGGAATATGGAATATTTTTATTCCATGCCCAGATTGTGGGGAATCCTGACCCCCTGAGATTTGGCCACGTTCCCCTCAGGAGCTTCCCATGTGGAATTTGGGGGGTTTTTATGGGACAAATCCCACTTTGGCCGTGGGAGGAGCTGACTGAACGTGGCCCAGATGTTCTGGCCCAGGTTTTAGGGGATAATCCTGGGATATCCCTGCAGCACCACTTCTCTCTTCTCCCTTCTCCGCAGAAATTCATGGCCAAGCAGCAGGAGAGCGGCGGGGAGGAGCCGAGCTCCAGGTGATGGAGCTTCCCAGGAACCACCACACGTCAGGGCCAGTCCGTTCTGTGTGTTTGGATTTCCTCGGTCATTCGGGGTCGGGAAGGAGAATCCATGATGTGAAAAATCAGAGCTGGGAACAGACCCAACCCAAAGCAGGAGAGGGTTGGAATTGTGCCTCCGATCATCCGACGTGCGAGAGGAGAGACTGTTCCAGGTGTCTCCAGGAAATAAATGTTCTTACTGTATAGGCACCCCGGGGCTCGTTGAGTTTGGGGTCATTCCTTGGGGTTTGGTGACTCTGGATGGACGTTGGAGATCCAGGGGATCGATGGAGAGAGTCAGGGGAAGGGTCTGGAGCTCCAGGAGCAGCTGGGGGAGCTGGGAAAGGGGCTCAGCCTGGAGAAAAGGGGGATCAGGGGGGAACTTTAGGCCCTCCAAAACTCCCTGAATTCCTGGAGCCGGGTGGGAGCTGGGATCTGCTCCCAGGGAACAGGGACAGGAGGAGAGGGAACGGCCTCAGGCTGGGCCAGGTTGGATAATTTTGGGGAAATTCCTTCTTGGAAAGGGCTGGAGTGCCCATCCCTGGGGGATTCACCAGCCCTGTGCATGTGGCA